GCGCGCCGCTCCTCACTCCTCCGAGTTTCCGCCGACAGAGGCTCCGCTGCAGACTCTTCACATGGACGTGTGGGGCCCAGCCCGCGTCCGTGGACAGGGTCACGAGCGCTACTTCCTGCTGGTGGTTGACGACTACTCGCGTTACACCACAGTCTTCCCCTTGCGTCGCAAGGATGAGGTCACTGAGGTGTTGATCGACTGGATCCGCGCTGCTCGTCTCCAGCTCAGGCAGAGTTTCCGCTCTGACTTTCCTGTTCTGCGTCTGCACTCTGACAGAGGTGGCGAGTTTTCCTCCGGCCCTCTGCGAGCCTTTTGTCGTTCGAGGGGCATCCGCCAGACGTTCACGCTTCCGGCCTCTCCACAGCAAAATGGGATTGCTGAGCGCCGCATTGGCATGGTCATGGATGTCGCTCGCACGTCCATGATCCATGCGGCTGCTCCCCATTTTCTGTGGCCGTTTGCGGTTCAGTACGCGGCGCGTCAGATCAACCTCCAGCCCCGGGTCTCCATGCCGGACACCTCCCCCACTCTGAGGTGGACGGGGCAGGTTGGCGATGCGTCTGCGTTTCGTGTCTGGGGATCTCGGGCTTTTGTCCGAGACTTGTCTACGGACAAGCTGTCCTCCCGTGTTGTTCTCTGCGTCTTCCTTGGCTTCCCCCCTGACGCGCCTGGTTGGCAGTTTTACCACCCCACCTCGCGCCGTGTTCTGTCCTCCCAGGACGTCACGTTTGACGAGTCGGTTCCGTACTACCGTCTCTTCCCCTACCGCGCTGCCCCCCTTCCCCCCCCGCCGCTCTTCCTTACGCCAGGTCCCCCCCCGGTAGACCCCCTCCCCCCTCAGGGTCCTGCTCCTTCAGGTGTGTCTCAGGTAGACCCCCCCCCCTTGGCTGAGCCTTTGGAGGTCACTTCCGACACCTCTGGCTCACCTGAGGGGGGTGACGTTGCTGCTGACGACTGCCCCGGCGGCCTACCGGCGCGCACCACGCTTGGAGACCCTTCCGGGGTTCCCTCCGCGACCTTCTTCGCCGCCTCTGCAGCCGGTTACTGTTGACTCTGGTGCTGTTGGGGGTGGTGCTCCTGGAGGTGCTGCGTCTGGGGGTGCGGAGTCTGGGGGTGCTGAGCCTGCGCGTGAGGAGACTGGAGGCCCTACGCCTGGGGGTGCTGTGTCTGGGGGTACTGAGCCTATATGCACGGAGTCTGGGGGTGCTGAGTCTGGAGGTGAGACGCTTGAGGGTACTGGGACTGCTGGTGCACGGCCTACTTGGAGTGGCCGCCTTCGTCCGCGTGTGCCTCTCACCACTCAGCAGCTGCACGACTGGTACGGTCGCCGTCAGCGTCGCGCTGCTGGAGCCCGGGGCTCTGCTGCTGGAGGTACTGGAGCTGCTGGGGCTGGGGGTGCTGCGCCTGGAGGTGCCGTTGCTGGAGACACTGAGGCTGGCGACCCTGGGACTGGAGGTGCTGGTTCTGGGGGTGCTGCTGCGGGAGACACTGCGGTTGGAGACCCTGGGACCGGAGGTGCTGGTTCTGGGGGTGCTGCTGCGGGAGACACTGCGGTTGGAGACCCTGGGACCGGAGGTGCTGGTTCTGGGGGTGCTGCTGCTGGAGACACTGCGGTTGGAGACCCTGGGACTGCAGGTGCCGGTTCTGGGGGTGCTGCTGCTGGTGGCGCTGGCTCTGGAGCTGCTGGCGCTGGAGGTACCGGTTCTGCGGCTGGAGCTTCTGGAGCTGCTGGAGGCACTGGAGCTGCTGGGGGTGCTAGAGCTGTTGGAGATGCTGGAGCTGCCGGAGCTGGTGCAGCTGTGCCGACACGACTGTTCTTCGCTCCGCCGTCTCCGTCGTCGCTGCCGCCGCCTGACTCTGCTCTTCGTCAGGTTGTTACTCTCCCGTCGTCTACTGGTCTTCCGTTACAGACTGGCTCACCGCTGCCTGCTCCCTCTCCTTACACTGAGCAGACTGGTAGTCCTGCTGAGCGTCGTGAGCCTGCGTCGCGTCCTGTCTCGCCTGTTCGTTCTGGTCGTACCGGTAGTCGTGTTCCTCGTTCGCGTCAGCCGGCTGTCCCCAGCGCACACCTTGTTGTCCGTCGTCCTTCCTCTGCTCCGCAGCCTGTTCCTTTGCCGTCTCCCCCTGCGTCCTCTCTGCCTGCCGTTCCGGACCCTGCGTCTGACCGGTTTCGTGCTGAGCACCCTACTGTCACGCGCCTGTTAGCTACTGTCGTCACTGACCCGTCGTTTGAGTCCACTGCTGCGTCTGCCTTGGTTGCTGAGCTTGTTGACTTTGCTGCTGCCTGTCGTCTCGACTACGCTGCTAGTCTTGTTGCTGAGTCTGAGTCTGTCTGTCCTCCGTCCGTCGGGGGTGAGTGTGCTCTTAGCACGGACGTCCTTGAGGACAGGCAGGAGGAGTTCCAGTGTCTTGCTGCTGCTTTACCTCATCTTGTGTCCTCACTGCTTGCCCCTGAGGGAGACCCGGATGCATTAGACATCCCGACTCCGCGCTCTTACGCGGAGGCGATAGAGGGTCCCTACTCCTCTCAGTGGCAGGCAGCCATGGACGCAGAGATGGCTTCCTGGAAGTCCACAGGCACCTACGTTGACGAGGTTCCCCCACCTGGGGCGAACATCGTCAGTGGCATGTGGATTTTCAGGGTGAAGCGGCCGCCGGGTTCTCCACCTGTCTTCAAGGCGCGTTACGTGGCTCGAGGCTTCAGTCAGCGGCAGGGAGTTGACTACTTTCAGACCTTCTCTCCCACCCCGAAGATGACCACTCTTCGGGTACTGCTGCACATAGCTGCTCACCGTGACTACGAGCTTCACTCTCTGGACTTCAGCACAGCTTTCCTACAGGGCAGCCTGCACGAGGAGATCTGGCTGCGCCGCCCACATGGCTTCACTGGGTCGTTTCCTCCTGGTACCCAGTGGAGCCTCCGGCGGCCAGTCTACGGTCTCCGCTAGGCGCCTCGTGAGTGGCACGACACACTGTACGCTTGCGGCTCTTGGGTTTGCTCCTTTGACTGCTGACCCGTCGCTGTTTCTACGCACCGACACCTCTTTGCCGCCGTTCTACATCCTCGTGTACGTCGACGACTTGGTTTTTGCTACAGCTGACACTGCTGGACTCGCCCACGTGAAGTCTGAGCTGCAGAAGAGACACACGTGCACAGACCTGGGTGAACTGCGCAGCTATCTTGGCTTGCAGATCACTCGGGACAGAGCACGGCGCACCATTACCCTGACTCAGTCACACATGGTGCAGCATGTCCTTCAGCGCTTCGGCTTCACGTACTCCTCGCCTCAGGCCACTCCTCTGTCTACTCGCCACTCGCTCTCAGCTCTGCCTTCGGATGAGTCCGTAGAGCCGAGTGGCCCGTGCCCAGAGCTAGTTGGCTGCCTCATGTACCTGATGACCTGCACACGACCTGACCTGGCCTACCCTCTTAGCATCCTGGCACGCTATGTTGCTCCTGGGAGACACCGACCAGAGCACATGGCTGCAGCGAAGAGGGTGTTGCGCTACTTGTGCAGTACATCGGGCATGGGGCTAGTGCTTGGAGGGCGGAGTCGAGTGGTCCTCACTGGTCACGCAGACGCGTCTTGGGTCGACGACCTGGCTACGCAGCGGTCGTCACAGGGTTACACGTTCAGCCTTGGTTCCGGCTCTGTTTCGTGGCGGTCTACCCGCTCGTCCTCTGTTCTCAGCTCCAGTTGTGAGGCTGAGATCTACGCAGGAGCCATGGCTGCTCAGGAGTTACGCTGGCTGACCTACTTGCTGACTGACCTACCTGCTGACTGACCTTGGAGAGCCGCCTCGTTCTCCTCCAGTTCTGTACGTAGACAACAAGGCCATGCTGGCCTTGTGTCGGGAGCACAGACTGGAGCACAGAACGAAGCACATTGCTCTTCGCTACTTTCTTGCTCGTGAGCTGCAGCAGCGTGGTCAGCTGCGCCTTGCGTACGTGGCCTCTTAGGCCAACACTGCTGATATCTTTACCAAGGCACTTCAGCCTTGTGATCATCAGCGCTTTTGTACGATGCTAGGTCTTGTGCCTACTTGGCCGCACTTGCTCACTTCTTGACCTTGCTTGTACTGTGACTTATATATACATGCTCTTGTTTGTTTCGCTTTATATATAATCCTGCACGTGAACTGGCCTGGTGGCTTGAACCTGTGCTCGGAATGTGTGGTGACGTTGTGATCCACCCTGAGCTTGCTTTGCTTCTCTTGACTGGTCTTGTGACCCCTTGCTCTCCCCACTTTGCCTATGGGGGTGTGTCAAATTATATGCCTGTGTCATAATAAAATGTAGGCTTTTGTGGGGTAGCTAATGTAGGGTAACCATCCCTACCAACTTACTCTAACAGGTAGTGCACAGTAAGGAAGCCAGAAAGTTTCCTTACAAACAACATCCTCCAACTCTCAAGATGGCATTACATGAACTCTTTCATATTTGCTGCTACAGTAAGTTGCTTAGTTTGTTCACACATTATGATACCTTACTGCAAATATCATACAACCAGCATGGTCATCCCCCCTTGTCAGTAATGAAATAACCCTCCCAAGTCAGTTAGAAACTTGCCCCTTCCATCAGTTGCCATGGCCCCAACGGCGGAGCAGCAATGATAGGTTCTTACGGCATCTGCAGTGATTGCATCCATGCTGTGCGTGTGCACTGCAAAGCCCCACATCAAATGCACACTTATGGAAATCTTCGTCAGCATCAGCTTCACATGAGCGGAAAAGGGAAATCTTCAGAGAACTCAGTTCCCTCAATCTCCCTGAGAACGTTCCAGCCTTGTGTCACCGCCAGGGTTCTACGAAGAACTAAACCCTGCCGTTCTCAGTCTAGCCCTTCTGTTGTTGCATCGTCACTCAATCTGCCCCTGCCTCCCCAGTTCTTCCTGCAGCAACAAGAACTGCCCCTCCAGCTCCCCTGACAGCCGCTTCTGCTGCAAGTAACGATGCCGCTACTCTCCCAGTACTGTCTCTGTTCCTTCGGCCCCTGCCTCTTATGTTACCGTTCCGTTCGCTACAGAGGCGTCAGGTACTGGATCCCCTTGTTGGGTGGTGGGTGAGATGGGGATGGTGGAGTCGGTGGGAGCAACGGCGGCTTTACCAGGCGAGAGGTCTCGGCGGCAGATGGGGCAGGTGGTTTTGGCGGCGAGCCAGAGGTCGATGCAGTCGGCGTGGAAGCCGTGTGCGCACGCCGGCACCACCTTGATGCGCTCGCCCGCCGCGTACTCGCCCAGGCACACCGCGCACTCGCGCCGACACGCCCACGCCAGACTCGCAATGAGGGCCTCGTCGTCGTTTTGTGGGACCTTGTCGTTGTCGTCGCCTTCGATGGTAACCACGAATTCGCCTCGCGCGGAACCAGTTTCGTTAGGGTTGTCAGCTGACAAGGCTTCGCTGCTGCTACTGCTTTCTTCCCTTGTAGAACAACGGGAGATCGTAACGTTTCTGCTGATTGGACGGGAGGAGCTGAACGACCGCGAGATTTCGCGACTGAAAATGCGAAACGAAGGTAGACCGGGTGTCGCAGTGGTAACCTCGCAACTGAAGGTGTTGTCTCCGCGGAACGTGTAAACTGGGAAAGCGCGAATCTCTGCCGGATCCAGACCCTGCGAAGGCTTAGCGACGCTCACGGATTCGCGAAGTTCCCTCAATCGTTCGGTCGCAGGGTCTGTCACGTAGAACCACCCGAGCTTGCGAAAGATGTAAACGATGAGGCCTGTAGCGAAGATAATGATGACGAATCCCACAACGGTTACCGAAATGAGCATGACTGACGAAACTGATTCTGTTGGGGTGCATGGCGGTGCTGACGTGTTGCTTGGCGCGCTTCGGCCTTGAAGGATCTCTGACATGATGCCGAATCCTGTGTTACTTGACGACGCGGACGAGTAGTCGCACGGACCCATCGCGTCGCGTCTGAAACTTGCCGACGAGACAGAAGGGTTTCGTCGTCCCGTGAGATAGGCTCACGACTGATTCGTACGATATACGAGACCCGTCTGCCTGATGTCGGCGCCTGGTGCTTCTGCACTTAGCCGGGATCAGAATCTGTGTCTTCTCAAGACTTGAGAGCGCTATATACTTTGTATCAAGTCAGCTTGAACTGGGAAAGGCCTTTCTGGAGCCAAGTACTCGACTGACAGATTAAGGACTGGTAGCATTTGCTATACAGAGGAAACTCAAGGAATCTAGGTACAAAAGGGCAAGAGCCGCAGCATAGCCATGATCAATCGCCGGTTTGGAGGAAAAGAAAACATGGCAGCAAGAGAAGTAGCCAGGGAGGCGGTCAGGGAGGCAGGCAGGCAAAAGTCGAGGCGATACAATGTGTGTGTGAACTGTACAGTACACCGCAGGGGCCGATGCTTTCGGGGGTGGGCCAATTTCGTTCGTTAGGTTTGACTACGGTTCATTCGAGTGCGCAGTGTTCAAAAGCGGTTGGAGCCGATAACCGCTCTCAAATCTGGGACCAAACGAAGCCCCAGAGAAAAAGTACGACTTGCCCCCAATTTTCACCAGAGGCGTCCCGTGGATTTTGGATGTCAGTTTCGGCGAATCCGCTTTCAGTTGAGACCAGTGTTGTTGGATGACACCTCACATGGCAGATTCAATACTGTAGTAAGTAGGGAAAAGCTGATTATAACAGGGTATAGGGCGTTTCATTTTGGTGAAAGTCTGTGGAAAGGCTTTCGCGAGGTCACGGCTCATGGCTTCTGAATCAGAAACGAGACACGAGTGAAACTCTGATTCGACGAAGTCTTTCAGTGCTGGCAGCTACCATCGCGTTTTCCATGATCCATGGATCTTCACGTATCGACGGTCAGTAGCACTTCAAATGCTGCCGCGCCTCGATATTTAGGGGCACCGTAGCATTTGGGTGCTGGAATGGACAACTCTGGTCAGATGAACCACCAGATAGTAACACCTCTATGCGCATCTTCGTAAATCAGTCCAGGGCAGAGATTCCAAATGTTTCACCGTACCTCTAGTCCAGGGCATTACTTCCAGAACCAAATCTCCCAGTTCTATATCCAGGTTATCTTCTTCAGTGGTTTTTGTTAATGATCTCCGTTTCTCCCATAGCCCCATCACCCCTAGCATAACCATCTCATTTCCTCAGCATCTCGCCCGCTATGCGAAGCTTGGAGTTACAAGACTGGGAATTGGTCATGCAATGTCACACCACAGTTGCAGTAGTGCAGCAACATCAGCAGCAGTCATCACGTGCAGCTAACTCCCAGCAACAGCAACCACCAGACAAAGGCCCAGTACCCTGATGCAAAACACTCTTCAGAAACACTGGGCCCGTTGATGCTTATTGCCTCGACTGCACAATCTGTCAGTCCCATTTCCCCTCCTTCACCTCACTTTTTCAAAAGCCCCAGTCCCTTTTGATTTGGATTTGGGATGATAATGTGGACGTCCCTTGTGCTGCACACCTTCCCATTGCTGTGTTATTCGTCTCCCTGTGTTCGCAGAGTTGTTCTCACTCAAACTCCTCTTCATCTGGCCTACATCCGTCGTCCTGGTCGAAGCGCAATCCGCACTATTCAATCCTGAGTGTTCGTCACACAGGACACATCTCATTACTATGTGCATCACTCAATCTGCCTCTGACATTCCCGTCCTTGCTTCAACAACCAGGACTGGCCCCGTGACTGCTACCGCTGCTCCCACACTTGCTACTGCTGTGGCTGCTACAGCTGCTGGTGCTGCTGCTGCACCTGCTACTGCTGCTTCCTCAACCGGCTTTGGCACTGTCCCTGTTCCCTCACTCCCTGTTCCTTCTGCTACCGCTCCGTCGGTTGCAATAACATCCGCCGTCAAGCCGCCTTGTTGGGTGTTAGGGGTCGGTGGAGTCTAATGCATTTGGTGTGAGGTCTTTACTTCCAGGAGCGAGGTCGCGGCGGCAGATGGGGCAGGTGGTTTTGGCGGCGAGCCAGAGGTCGATGCAGTCGGCGTGGAAGCCGTGTGCGCACGCCGGCACCACCTTGATGCGCTCGCCCGCCGCGTACTCGCCCAGGCACACCGCGCACTCGCGCCGACACGTCATCGCCTCGTCGTCGCCCTCGATGGTTACCACGAATTCGCTTCGTTTCGAGCCAGGCTCGCCAGCGTATTCCATGGCCAGTTCGCCGGCCATAATAAGGCAGCGTGAGAGCGAAAATTCATGGCTGATTTTGAGAAAGGAGGTTAATGCGCTCGTCTCAACTGTACCGTCGCGATTCGCGCAGCCAAAAGTGTGAACTGGGAACGAGCGAATTACTGCAGGATCCAACCCTTGAGAAGATTTGGCAGTTTCGTGAAGGGCCAGCAATCGAGCAGCTACTGTTGGCCGTGCCGTCGCAGGTTGGGCTTCGACTAACCACCCGAGCTTGTGTAGTATATGGATGACGATGCTTGTAGCGAGTACAACAACAACGAAACCTAAAATACCTATGATGATAACTGCCGGTATTGAAACCACCGGCGCGCACGGCGGAGGCGGAGGTTGCGCTGACGTGGCGTTAGGCATATCGGGTGAGTCGCCGGGATTCGAAGTGGGTTGGTCGCATGAAGACACCATTGCGCGTTAATCTGCAGACGAGATTGCGCGTTAATCTGCAGACGAAATTGCGCGTTTTTCTGCAGACGAGATTGCGCGTTAATCTGCAGGCGAGATTGCTGGACACTGGAATGTCAGACGCCGTCGCGGCGACGGTCGGACTGCACGCTGGCGAGAGGCGCCGCGCGGGGGAGAAGCACGCTGGCGAGAATACGTTGGCGAGAAAAAAGCTGTCATGCGAGCGAGAATCACCCCTTGGTAGCAGTGATACGCTGGTAGGTAAGGAAAACAGAAATCGCATGATACGGGAGTGAAAGAGGGTCCTTCCATTTATAGCGTGATGACAGTTTTCGAGGACGACGTGCGGAAAGGCGGCTTGCAAGTCAGTTCAACTGCCTCTTTGCGGAAGTTCACCGGAAAATCTAACCAGGATTCGAGAACGGACGATGCAGGAGCACCTCAGAATCGCCGCCTCCTTATCCCTTGACCGCCTATTAGCCGTCTTTGCAGCCTCATAACAAGGCATAGCGACCACTGATCCCGCATGCCACTTAGAAGAAAGGGAGCCATGGAAACCTGATCCAGAACCTTGGAAACTGGATTCAGAGGAAAGGGAAGCCACGGAAACCGCCAGCCTGGCTTTAGTAAATCGGTCGCGACGCGGAAATCAAGTGTGGATTGTGCGGCGTCAGTCACGTTCTGCAGGTGCGAATAAGTCGGCAATGGCGAATGATTGGGCAACGCTAAATCCCACACGAGCGACTTGAATATTCAGTGGTGGCTGGAATCCCTAGAGTCTGGATTATGGGGTGGTTGTGAGGTTGAGGTTGTGAGCTTGTGAGCTTGTTCTAGTTGTAGCTTCCCACTAAGGAGTTCCCGTGCCTGCCGACCTTTGGACCTACTCCGCCAAACCTGGTAAAAAAAGTAGGGCAAACGCCCTTGGCCCCCTGTTCGGCAGGCGCGTCAGAATCTAGGCTCGGGGACCATCTCACGTTCGGGGTGGTGCTCGCTTATAAAATAGTCAGGTTTGGGGTATTCTAGTACAGTTCTTTCTTGGAAGTTGATATATACACAGGATTCAGCAAATGAATACATCAAAGACTGTATTACGGTAGCTGTGCATGCGAGGCAGCGATGTGGTTACCTCATATGAGTGTCTACGGCTACCTGTGGTTTTTCCTCGGCAGCTGCTAGATGGCAGCGAATGATTTGTTCCATTTCCACGTCTTGCTGCCGCTGTCCTTCAGCTTGTCAATCAACTTTGTCTCCTACCGTGTGTGCCAAACAATCCCCAAAACCTGAGCATTGGACATGGGTTGCCTATCACACAGCAGCTGCAGTAACTGCAGCAGTAGCAAAACCATCAATGCAGTACATAAACAACCAGCACCAAGCAAAGCCCCTGTCACGGGTCCCAACATGCCATTCGAGAGCGCTGGCCTCATGAAGGTTTACTCCCCCACTGCATTTGTCAAGCGCACTTCCCGTCCTTCACATCGGTCCTCCACAGGCCCCAGTTCCGTCAGGACTTTGGTTCGGATGACAATCAGAGAGCCGTGTGCGTTACATAGTTGGCCATTGCTCTGCCAGACACCTGGACTGGATATTCTAACAAGGTTTTCGCTGTAGCCTGTCGTGGTCTGCGATTGATTCCTCGTCCGGGTCAGAACACTGCCCGCACATCTGTTACAGGAATGACCCCGGCTTTCTCTGGGGACCATCCAATCCGCCTCTCCCGCCGCTTTTTTCAATCTGCTACTGAGCCAACTTAAATGTCAACTGCTCGCACAAAAACCATCTCAGTTTCCTGTGCGCACTACTCAGCCTACCTCTGCCGCTCCTCTCCTCCCTTCAGCAACCAGGACTGGTTCTGTGTCTGCTAATGCGGCTCCCTCACTTCCCACTGCTGTTGCTGCTGCTGTTGCTGCTGCTGCTGCTACAGTCTCACCTCCCGCTGCTGCTGCTGCTGCTGCTGCAGTCTCATCTCCCACTGCTGCTGCTGTCTCGCCTCCCATTGCTGCTGCAGCACTCGCACCGTCCACTACTGGTTCTGGTGCTCTCTCACCTCCCACGGCTGCTGCAGCACTCGCACCGTCCACTGCTGGTTCTGGTGCTCTCTCACCTCGCACTACTGCTGCTGTGGCTTTTGCTGCTGCTGCTCCAACGTGTAGCGGCGCTGGCACTGCCCCTTCTCCCTCACCCACTGTTCCTTCTGCTACCCCTCCTTGTTGGGTGATGGGGACGACAGGGTCGGTGGAATTTAACGATCGCGGCGTGAGGTCGCGGCGGCAGATGGGGCAGGTGGTTTTGGCGGCGAGCCAGAGGTCGATGCAGTCGGCGTGGAAGCCGTGTGCGCACGCCGGCACCACCTTGATGCGCTCGCCCGCCGCGTACTCGCCCAGGCACACCGCGCACTCGCGCCGACACGTCATCGCCTCGTCTTCGCCCTCGATGGTTACCACGAATTCGCTTCGTTTCGAGCCAGGTTCACCTGCACCTTCTGTAGCCAGTTCGGCGCCGGCCGTATTGGAATCGTTGCGGGAGGGGCAGCGTGTGAGAGAAACATCTTTGCTGAGTCGACGCGAGGAGCTGAGGGAACGCGAAATTTCGCGGCTGATCTTGTGAAAGGAGGTTAATACGGTCATCTCGGTAGTAACGTCGCGATCGGCGAGTTTGTCGCGGAAAGTGTAAACTGGGAATGAGCGAACCAGTGCAGGATCCAACCCTTGCGACGAATTGGCGACGCTCGCAGATTCGCGCAGGACCAGCAATCGAGCAGCTGCTGCTGGTTGTACTGTCGCAGGCTCGTGTTCAGCGAACCACCCCAGCCTGTGTAAGATATAGATGACGAGGCCTGAAGCGGCTACAATGACTACGAATGCTATAATCGTTGTGAAAAACATGGCTGGCGATACTGGAGTTGTTGGCGTGCACGGCGGTGGCGGAGGTTGTGCTGACGTGGCGCTAAGCGAGCTGCTATTGGCTGGATTTGGAAATGCGGATTGGTCGCACGAAGCCATTGCGCGTTAATCTGCAGACGAGATGGCGAGACGCCGAACGACCAGTAGGACGGTCGGACGGCAGGATAACAGCACCACGGTGTCACACGAGCTCTATAATTTAACCGTGAGCAGTCAGTCTTACACTGCGTTGAGAATTCGAGTAAAAAGATTATGTATGTTGAAGGCGCAAATCAATGGCCATGGAGGACATGCAGAACTGCACCAGACACATGCATTGAGAACAGCAGCCTTGAAAAAGGGGTTCGGGGGGACGCTAAGGAAACTGGATTGAGAGGGAAGCCATGGAAACCGCCATCTAGCTTCTCTGCTTGCACGACCCAAGTAGCTGCAGGTTCGCCCAGCTTCACCTGATTTCCGTCGTGGTTAGCCTCGGTGAAGAGAAAATACAGACACATGCTAAACGATACAAAAGGGCAAGGGTGTTTGTTGAGTGCAACCTGGGCAAGGTGTGTGGCTTGTCTGACGTCATTCATAGTGGCAATCACGGAATTGTACACGTGGGAATACCGGAGTGGTCGGTTGGGGTTACTTTCGGCCGTCAGCACGAACTGGATTTGCAGACCTGTGACAGCTGGGTTGGCCCTTGCCTTTCTGCCTGGGTGGGTGCTGTGCTGAAGAACGATCCCAACGATGTGCATATCCTCGTTAGAATATAACGCTGTCATGATAATAAGTAAGTGGCGTTACACGATTGTTTTGATGGTATAGATCAGGTTCTTGATCTTCAGTAAACCACGGAATGACACATAAGCTCTTCACTGTCTCATGAGCCCACGCCAATTCGTCGATAAATGCTCACCTGGCTTTTGGTGCTCCCTAAAGGCATGAAGATAGTTTTACCTGGTCAGGAAAAGTCAGCAGACACCAGTGGCGCGACATGAACCACAGGATGATGGGGTCGCAGAAAGGAACGGGTAGGATTTCTCAAGCACGAATCGAATGGGGGATGAGCTGCAGCCACACGAGTCTCCGCACGAGAGTTTGGATCTTAGCGGCGGAAATGCTGCCAGGTAGGGCTGGGCGAGGCGAGAGGGTGCACGCATAGCCCTTACTTCCGTGCCTGTCATTACGGGCAGCTCACATGGGAATAGAAAGTTTGAAGTGTACGGAATGTCAAGTTCTCACGGCCAAAAGCGTAGTGAGGTAACCCCCGAATGTGTTTTATTAAACAGTGAAACACTTCCCCCATAGGCAGCATTATCACTTCGTTTCCTGCCCGAAGCATTCTGCACCATTGATTGTCGCTCCGAAAGAAACCCATGTCTCGTCTCGATTGTTCGATGCACGCTTCACACTGCTGCGGCAAATGAGCGCCACCTGACCTGACCAGTAACCACCTGACCTGAGACGAAGGACTTCACTTGATCCATTCGTCCGTGCGTCATCCTCATCCCCCCTCCGAAGTGTCTCTTCGACAAACGAAGTCCGTCTTCTCTGCTTTCACAGGAAAGCTGGTTGAAAGCTGGATTGGTTATGGGCAAGCTGCTCGATTCATTACCTAAAACGGTAGTGACTACTCTCGTGAGTCAGTAAAATCATTACATTCTTACTGGACGAGATGAATGCGTCTGTGATTACAACCACCGCGCCGCCTGCCCCGGACTGCACATCTGGCTGCGCGCCTCTCGTCGTGGTAACACCCGCCATTTCGCCACTCACCTTCGCTACGGCAGTCTCCGCGTGCATGGTCCTCGTCTTCGTCATCTCTTTCGCCGTCTACCTCTACCGCCGCCCCGACTGTATGTTTCTAGGGCAGGACGAAGAAAATCCGGGCTCGAGCGATTCTCAACGAGTCGTCGCGAGACTCAACGCGGATTTCGCGAAACCCGGCCTCGATCCTTCCGTGATTCAAAACCTGCCCGTTATAATCTTCCGCCCCGAAAATGACGTGTTGAAATCGAATTCCCCAAACGTCGGCGGCGACGCGGCGGCATATCCACATCCAGGTGGCGATCGTGACACTAACGAGAGGATCCTGAGCCTGCGCGAGTGCGCGGTGTGCCTGGGCGAGTACGCGGCGGGCGAGCGCATCAAGGTGGTGCCGGCGTGCGCACACGGCTTCCACGCCGACTGCATCGACCTCTGGCTCGCCGCCAAAACCACCTGCCCCATCTGCCGCCGAGACCTCCGCGGCCCCGCCACAGCCCCCGCGCAAGAAAACTTATCGCGGGTGGAAAGCGACTCGCTGGCGGAATCCGGGGAGCGTATGGAGACTTCATCCGGAGGAGAGCGAGCGGAAAGAGAGGTAGCGGGATCGGAAGCATCGGCGGAATCGCAAAGAATAGGGATTTCGGCTGCAGCAGAACCAACTCCGCGAGCTGACGCGGTGATTGTGCGGATAGGGGCAGATCCGGGGAACGACGCTGTGATGAACGTGCCCATAGCGGCTGGCGCGTGAGGCGCTACTACCAATGCAGGACTAGGGAGCAGCATTTGTGCGGGACGGAAACAGCTGAGATGAGCCGCGGAGGTTTCTTTTCCAGTGGAGGATGTTGGTTAGTCGCGGTGCGGTATCATTCCACACGTCCAGCCCCAGGAATAGGAGTCGTGAGCGCGGTTTGTATTTAGGGAAGCAGATGAGCTGCGGAATCCTTTTTTTTTTTTCCAAGCTGTTGGATAGCTGCGTTACCGAGTATTTTCCGCTCGTGAGGAGAAGTGAGCGCGAAGAGTCCGTAGGTTCGACGATGCTGTAACTAAGTTTTCTTCTCAAAAACTTGGACAGCGGCGTCAGAGGAGGTAGCAGGTTTTGTGTTAATCTGAGTACTTGCGAAGCGCGTCGTGCGGTCACTTGACGACTACGGTTAGGTGCGCGTCGCAAATCGTGTTCTTTTTTCCACGTGCAAGCACGTGGGTTACGTCTCGCGTACGTGTCAAAATCGCCATGCGACCGAGGAAGAACAGTCGGAATCCTAGTAGGGGCGATTCGGCGCCGTCATTCGCAAAATCGCCATGCGACGGAGGAAGAACAGTCGGAATCCTGGTAGGGGCGATTCGGCGCCGTCATTCGCGGCGTCGGTTGAAGGGTTAGCTAGGATTCTCTTTATCTCCATACATACCGCGCGAACGGGGTTTCTCTCCACATGACGAGAATGCATGCGGAGCGGAAGCGGGAGAATTACTTCCTCTAGGGAAGGAAGCGGATGGTTGAGGGGAGCTTTGAATGTTGCGCGGAGGGGAACTCGGCGTGGAGAAGGCTGGGGGGGAGGGGTGGGGGAGAGGGGTGGAGGGGTGGAGAAGGGCGGGAGATTCGAGGGGGAAGGAGAGTGCGCTGCGCTGCAGTGAGAAGGAACCAAGTCTCGGGGCATTTGCGGAGTCGATACGGTATGGGGTCTATGCGGAGGATTTGCTTTGCCCAAATGGAAATGTAGAGGAGAGATGGGATCGGGGAGCGGAGGAGGAGGAATGGGGGAAGAGAAGGATGCGGAGGCTAGGGAAAGGGGGAAGAACGGATGCGAAGCTGGGGGCTTCACTTTACCCCGCCCCACTGTGGGGGGAGGACGAGCTATGCGGACGGTCTGTAACAAGTCTCGACTTTAGATCTTGGCAACTGGCGGGAATCAAGGCCATTGGCCGAGGCTGGGTTCTAAATTCAAGGATCTCTCTGGCGGAATTTCGGGGGATCTGGTTACAACTGGGGTGCGAATTTGTAGACCGAGAAGTGGGCAGGTGATCCTGCCTGGGGGACGGATGAGCAGGCGAAGGCAGACACAGGCGACGAAGGCAATTGGAGGGGAATGACGAATTCGCAGGCGACTAGATCCACTGCATTTTTCCATTCCCCCTCTTCCAATCCATCCGCTACAACGCCTCCACCCATCCCTCCACAATTTTCAGACAGTAGTAACTTCTCCATCGCCACTGCCTATGACCCTTTATGCACATTGGTTGAACTGTAAGACCCTCCACCCTCCAAACCTTAATCCCAAACCCCAAGGCCCCAGCTCCAAGCCTCCAACCCAGCCCCAAGCCCCCATACAGCCATCCTATCAATGAAAGCCCCCCCACTCCTCTCAGATTCTGCCATGGGGCCTTCTTTGCCCTCAGCTCCCTCCTGCCCTGTTGCATCAATCTAAACAGTTCATCCATCTCCGACAAAATTCTGCAAGCTTGTGGTGACCACCATATGTTTTCTTCAGAAATGGAATGGCATGGCACCTACAGGGATCAGGGCCAGTGAATTTGGAGGTAGGGACAGACATTTCAGTTGTTCCAGGAATGGCTTGGCAGCCCGTGGCAAGCGGGATAGCTAGATTGATGGACCAAAGTTTGCCAAGTAGCTTTGTTTTGTCAGTTTGTGCTGTTGTTCACCACAACAGCGCATCTGGCGTTTTTGAGTCTAAAGGTCAGCCATATGAACTGGCGCACAGCTGCTCCTTCTGTTGGTACTGATTCTTCTACCACCTAGTAATGACTGCATTCTCAGGAAGTTTGGCGAGAATTGAGCACGCTGTGCTTGCTGGTTCGCTTAAGACACCGCACCTCGTGATGCTATTACTGCGACTGAGGGCGTATTCCTATCCTATCAATCTGACCTGTCAAGCTCACACTGAAAAATCCCTTAAACCCAAACCTCTCGCTACTTTTACCAGGCAAAAGGTACAATCTTGATAGGAGGTGGCTTGATAGGAGGCCGTAGGAATATGCCCTGAGGCCACTGTTGCTGCTCTTTCCTAGTGGTAAGTGGCTGCATCCAAAGTAGGTATGAAAAGAGCTGCTGCACGCAGATCAAGGGCCTACGCCACTGAGGCTGCTGCTGTTATTACTGCTCGTCCTCTCTCTTGATGACTGAACTGCAGGCGCCGCTGCATTCCAAGGAAGTACGGCGAGAGCTGCTGCACGCCCTGCAGCTGCTGCTTCTGCTGCTGCTTGGGTGGTTACTGCTGAAAGTCTTCCCTACTGGTAATTGGACTGCAGGCGCCGCTGCATTCTAAGGAAGCATAGCGAGAGTTGCTGCACGCCCTAACTGCTGGTCAACACCTGCTGCTGCTGCTGCTGCGCTCCTGAAGCTGTTACTGCTTCCGCGGTTACTTTTGAATGATGACTGGACTGCAGGCGCCGCTGCATTCCAAGGAAGTACGGCGAGAGCTGCTGCACGCCCTAACTGCTGGTCAACACCTGCTGCAGCTGCTGCTACTTATGCTGCTGCTGCTTCTGTGGTTACTGCTGAAGGTCTTCCCGATTGGTGACTGGACTGCAGGCGCCGCTGCATTCTAAGGAAGTACAGCGAGAGCTGCTGCACGCCCTGACTGCTGGTCGGCAGCTGCTGCTGCCGCTGCGCTCCTGCTGCTGCTGCTGCCGCTGCTGCTCCTGCTGCTGCTGCTGCCGCTGCTGCTGCTGCTGCTGCGGCTGCTGTTATCGCTTCTGCACTTTCTTTCTAATGGTGACTGGACTGCAGGCGCCACTGCTTTCTGAGAAAGTACGGCAAGAGCTGCTGCACGCCCTGCCTGCTGGTTGGCTGCTGTTAGTGAATCTGGTGTTCACGCTGTTACTGCTTCTGCTCTTTTCTAATGGTGACTGGACTGCAGGCGCCGCTGCATTCTAAGGAAGTATGGAGAGAGCTGCTGCACGCTCTGACTGCGGGTTGGTTGCTGCTGCTGCTGCTGCTGCTGCAGCTCCTGTCGACGCCTGCGTTGCACACAGACATGAGAGGACACCGTTGCTCGCTCATCACTTCCACAACAACCCACAAGAAGCAAACAACAATAATCATAATAACTATACTAATAGTTATAAACATTTAACAGCAAAACAAACGAATACACACCTTGATCTGAGTCGTCGTAACCGTCTGCGAGCCAGATTCCACCTCCCCTGCCTTTGGCCTCCTTGCTGGTCCTGCTGCTGCCCTTGCTGCTGCCCCTGCTGCTGCCCCTGCTGCTGCCCGTGCACCCTGCCGCCCGCAATGGACCAATCAGGAAGCAGCACCCATTCCGGCGCGCCTCGGCTAGCCGCCTCCTGCCTGAGCCGCTCATCCAACCCCTCACTCCATGTGACTGTAGCGAGGGTGCTTGTAGACGCACCATCCCTTATAGACGCATTTCCTGTAGATGCAGGCTCTTGATCTGTTAACGGGGGTAGCGGTTGAAACACACCCCATTGCTGTGTAGGTGCTACAGCAGTGTCCTTCTTAAGCTGGCGATTTCCCCTCCCGTTAAAGACACCATGGTTAGAGTCACGCCCAGGAGCGCCAGTAGGGAGGAACCAGCCGCGGAACGCGCGCTTGCAGAGGGGCAGGGGGGGGAGAAGGGGGAGGCGCAGCTAGCGCGGCTGGCGGAAGTGGCGCAATCTGCGCGGCTGGCGCAACTCCAGCGGCGGATGCACGGCAGGCAGAAGCGGTGCATGCACGGCGACAGGGCGACGATTGGCGAAAGGGTTACCACTGCCGTTGCGGCGGAAGAGGGGGAGCTTTTCGAAACGGGGAGGGGGGAACTTGCGCGTTCCGCCGATCTGGATACGATTTGCGCAGCTCGTGCCGATCCGTGATTGGTGGTGGGGAATTGCGCGGAGTGTTCCTCCCCTTCACCATTCTCACAGGGTTCCGCGGAATGTGATAACCCTTCGTTCGCGCGGGCTTGCGAGGGTTGGAATCGCGAGTCCGCGAAGGGAGTCAGGCAGATCGGGCACACGTCACCGGATGGCGGTGATTCTAACGGGGAGTGTGGCTTCCCGTCGAGTGATTCTAACGAGGGTTCGTCACCGGTCGCGGCACGTTCAGCAGGATCGGCGCTTGGACGGATGGGAGAGTCGGAGGATGACATGCCGCGAATACCGCTAAGATAGTCGCCAAGCTGGTAGAGTTCCCTAGAGCACCGACTAAAGACGTATCCGCTATAAAGACATTTGGGGGGATTCACGTTCGATGAGCATCTTGCTGTATCCGCTATAAACAGGCCGATATTGCTTCGTGTGACCCTCACGTTTGGGAAACACCGATGTGCATTTCTCAAAGCACTTCAACTCACCCAGCTGTCAGCAATTTTTTTCTCTCCCAAATGTAACCCAACAATCATGAGATCAACATTTGCAACGATGCATTTCTTTATATCGTGTACGAGCACTTACCGTCAACTACCCCTACCTTTCCCGTCCGAGATGCTTTTTCCTAAAAAATAGGAGATGCTTCTATTGTTCGAGTGGGAATAATTAGCATGGATCAAACGAGCGTCAACAGCGCTGCCCCATAGGGCTTCGCAGAATGACGATCCTGTTCCTCTCGAATCGTTGCCTCTACCAAGATCGCAAGCATGCGCGGTTCGCTAATTAGTATCGACATCGTAGTCATGGAATCGTCGCTCTATCATTAGTCGGTCCGTCAAATTAGAGTCGGTTCCGACGGGCGAACGGGCTGAGATCCACGTCGACATGGCCACGACACCGACCCAGGTGACGTGGCAGGAGATGCAGCGCATGCTGACGTGTCTTCTGGAGGCAACCGAGGTGATCCGAGTAGCCAATAGTCGGAGGCAGCAGACCGCTGATCTGCTAGACGAGGCGATCCACGTGTCTTCCGCTCATTGGGCCCGTCACGAGGCCCTAATCGCCGCGCACACGCGGGTAGCCGCCCGGCGCGCTGAGCTGGACAAACTGCGTGCTGACGTGGTGGGAGCCCAGCGTGAGGTGGAGGACAAGCGTGCGGACGTGGAGAGGCGGAGAGCGGAGCTCAAGGAGGCGAGACACTCGTTAAAAGCTGCCTCGACAAGATTAGTGGTATGATATGACATGCTGAATTACAAGGGGTGGTTAATCCTGCTGGCAGATAACCCCGTTAACAGCTGACCTCGTTTTGATACCCACGTGCTCCCATGCTTTCCTCTTAACCCCTCGTGATCCCATCTTCTCTTCTGGCCCCTTCTATCTAACCCATCCTGGATCCCCTTATACTCCTGCAATCCTCTCCCCTCCTTGTAATCCCATCTTCTCCCCTGGCCCCATCCTTGCCACTCTCCCTATTCCCGTCTCATCCTTTCCCCTTTGTAATCCCATTTTCTCTCTCCCCCTCCCCTACTCCCCTCCCCTTCCTATACAATCACATCCACAGGAAGCGGACCGGTTCCTGTCCCAGGAAGGTTCCAAGCAACAGCTGACAGTGAGAAGGCGGCTGGCCACTAGACGACGAAGAATGCTGCTCCAACTGGCGGGGATCATTCCCCTCTCCCCCTCCTCCCCCTCCTCCCCCTCCTCCCCCTCCTCTTCCTCCCGCTCCACTTCCTCCTCCCCCTCCTCTTCCTCCCCCTCCACTTCCTCCTCCCCCTCCTCTCGTCCCTCCTCTTCCTCTTCTGTTTCTCCTCGCCCCCTTTCCGCCTCCTCCTCCTCCTCCGCCTCCTCTTCGTCCGCCCGCCCCTCCTCCGCCTCGTCCCCCACTCCGCCAACCGCATTGAGACACGTGGCAAGCGCGGATAGCAGCTGGGGGAGTGGTTGGGGCTTCTGGGGTAAAAGGGGAGGGGGAGGGGAAGCGGGAGGGACAGGGGCAGGGGCAGAAAGAAGAGGGGGAGGGGGAGGGGACGTGGGAGGGGCAGGGACAGAGACAGGGGCAGGGGAGGAAAGAAGAGGGGGAGGGGAGATAGATGGAGGGGCGTGTGTGACTGATACGGGGGGGAGTGAGAAAGATGGGGGAGAGAGTAAGAAGAAAGGGAGGGTGTTTAGTGATGGAATGCTGATGGATAGAGGGAGAAGAAGGGGGGAGGCGGAGGGGGAAGGGAGGGAGGCGAGAGAGAGGAAGGAGGAGGAGGAAGGAAAGAAGGGAAGCGGAGGGGGTGTGACTATAACGAACGGAGAAAAGCCTGTTGGGAACTCCAGAGTGGGCGGCAGCAGGAACGAGGGGGGTGTGGATGGGAGGATAGTGGATGTGACTATATTGGGGCTGCCCCTGATAACAGCTCCTCGGCTACAGTCACTGTTCAGTGGGGGAGGAGCAGGCATGGACGAGGGTGCGAGGCAACGGCATGACGCTGCCTTGGGGTTGACGGCTCAGGTAAAATCTTTTCCCTTGCTGCTAGTGCTAGTCCTCACCTTATATCAGCACCTCGCCCGCAGTCGCTGTTTGGTGAGAGAGGAACAGGCATGGACGAGGGTGCAAGGGCAACGGCACGACGCTGCATTGGGGTTGACGGCTCAGGTAAAGGCTCATTCCAAAATCCCTTTCCTTGCTGCTAGGGTTTGAGCAATAGGAACGTTTTTGTGAGCTAGAAAGGGACCGTTTGGCGGGTGCAGGCATGGACGAGGGTGCAAGGCAACGGCACGACGCTGCTTTGGGATTGACTGCGCAGGTAAAAGATCTTCCCATAATAGAAGCTCTTCCATTGTTGCTGCCAAGGAGTGGTAGTAATGGTTGTGTGGGCTAGGGAGGGACCGTTTTGAAAGGTTGGGTTGGACGAGGGTGCCAGGGCAACGGCGCGACGCTGCATTGCGGTTGACGGCTCAGGTAAAACCACTTTCCTTGCTGCTAGGAGTGTGCATGCAACCTGCACCTCCCCCTGCGCTACCCCATCCTGCTCCCCCCTTCCTTAGGCCTCATGCCTCTTTCACTCCCCGTCCCATTCTTCCTGAACCCCTCCCTCGCCCCCCCACCCTTCCAGTCCAGCTTGCATGCTTCTCGGCGTGCTATCTGCACCTCCCCCTGCGTTAGCCCAACCTGCTCCGTCCTCCCTTGTGCCTCATGCCTCTTTTTCTCTCCTTCCCACTTCTGCCCGCCTCCTCCCGCTCCCCCTCTCCCTCCAGCTTGTCTCCTTCTGTGCGCACTACCTTCATCCCGCTCCGTTACCTTCATCCCGCTCCGTTACCTTCATCCCGCTCCGTTACCTTCATCCCGCTCCGTTACCTTCATCCCGCTCCGTTACCTTCATCCTGCTCCGTTACCTTCATCCCGCTCCGTTACCTTCATCCCGCTCCGTTACCTTCATCCCGCTCCGTTACCTTCATCCCGCTCCGTTACCTTCATCCCGCTCCGTTACCTTCATCCCGCTCCGTTACCTTCATCCCGCTCCGTTACCTTCATCCCGCTCCGTTACCTTCATCCCGCTCCGTTACCTTCATCCCGCTCCGTTACCTTCATCCCGCTCCGTTACCTTCATCCCGCTCCGTTACCTTCATCCCGCTCCGTTACCTTCATCCCGCTCCGTTACCTTCATCCCGCTCCGTTACCTTCATCCCGCTCCGTTACCTTCATCCCGCTCCGTTACCTTCATCCCGCTCCGTTACCTTCATCCCGCTCCGTTACCTTCATCCCGCTCCGTTACCTTCATCCCGCTCCGTTACCTTCATCCCGCTCCGTTACCTTCATCCCGCTCCGTTACCTTCATCCCGCTCCGTTACCTTCATCCCGCTCCGTTACCTTCATCCCGCTCCGTTACCTTCATCCCGCTCCGTTACCTTCATCCCGCTCCGCTACCTTCATCCCGCTCCGCTACCTTCATCCCGCTCCGTTACCTTCATCCCGCTCCGTTACTCCATCCTCCTCGCCGGATCCCGCTGCCTCATGGTGGACCCGCACCCCCCTGCCAGAGCGGAAGCCTAGCTGATTCTTTTGCTCCCCTCCCCTTCCCCATTCCCCCCTCTCTGTTCTTGCTCCTCTCCCCGCTTCTGTTCCCCTTGCAGCTTGTTTGCTTCTGCGCGCGCTATCTCCACCTACCTCTCCGCTACCCGATTCTCCTGGCTGGTTCTCGCTGCCTCATGGTGGACCGAGTGGAGGCCTTGCTCCCCCCTGCCCGAGTGGAGGCCTTGCTCATGCACCTGCTCCCCTCTTCGTTTCCTTTTTCCCCCTCCCCCCTCCCCACCAGCTCGTTTCCTTCTGTGCGCGCTACCTGCACTTCCCCCTCCGCTACCCCATCCTGCTCGCCGGCTCGCGCTGTCTCATGGTGGACCGGCACCCCCCTGCCCGAGTGGAGGCGCAGCTAATGCTGTTCCCCCTCCCCATTCCCTCCTCGCCTGTCGTCCCCCTTTCCCTTTCCCCCCTCTCCCCCCAGCTCGTTTCCTTCTGTGCAAGGTACTTACATCTCCTTCTGCGCTACCTGATCCTCCTGGCTGGTTCGCGCTGCCTCATGGTGGACCGGCACCCCCCTGCAAGAGTGGAGGCGCAGCTGATTATGCTTCTGCTCCTCTCCTCCATTCTACCCCGCACCATCAGCTTGTTTCTTTCTGTGCAAGGTACTTGCACCTCCCCCTGCGCTACCCCATCCTGCTCGCCGGCTCGCGCTGTCTCATGGTGGACCGGCACCCCCCTGCCCGAGTGGAGGCGCAGCTGATGCACCTGCAGGGGATGGGGATGGGCGTGGGTGGTGGTATTGGGAGAGGGGTGGCAGCAAGGGGAGCGGGAGGGGGAGGCGGAGGGGGAGGGGGAGGGCGAGGGGGAGGGGGAGGGGTAGTTGGTTTCCCAAATCAGATTGAGCAGCAGAAGCAGCAGCAGCAGCAGAAGCAGCAGAAGCAGCAGCAGCAGTTGCTGTATAGATCAGCTAGTGATATGAATCTGCTGCCTAGGAGTGGCAGCACAGGGAGCAAGGGGAGTGGCTGGGAGAAAGGGAGTGGGCGGAGGGGAGGCAGCAGGAGCAGTTCTCCTGAAAGAGGAGGTTCGGAAATATTAGGTTCGGAAAGAGGAGGTCTGGAAAGAAAAGCCTCCCCGGTAGGGGAGGTGAGGGATAGAAGAGGCGTGAATGGTGCGATCGGTCTCGGTGATGAGGGGTGGGAGGCGGTTGTGAGGGGTGCCAGCCAGAGCAGCAGCAGCAGCGGTGGTGGTGGTGGGAATGGTGTAATGGCAGGAGGAATGGCTGGGGGAATGGCAGGGGCAGGGGGAATGGGAGGAGGAGCAGAAGGGGGAGTGGAGGTGCAGCTGGCTCTGTATATGGGTCAGTCTCACGATGCAGGGCGATGCGCGTGTGCCATGGTCCTGCTGGGGAATGTAAGTTTTTAAACTTGTGGTCGGCTGTTGTTTTTAATGCCCGAGGGAAATTTGGGAAGCATGGCCCATGCCGTGCTGCTGCTGGGGAATATGAATGCTGGTGTTGATTCTCGCAAGGTGAGTCATGACTTGCGAGCATTCAGGCATTCTCCGATTACGATCCCGGCACCTACGGCTGCTGCATCCAACACTAAGCAGCACTCACCAATATGAGCATTCAAGCACGCACCGGTGATTCGCACTTAGAGCGTTCAAGCATTCAGCAATATTAGCACCCAAAGCTTCACCAGTACGAGTATTCACCCGCGTGTCTGGAAAGCATAGCATCAAGGCGTTTTGAAAGCCTGCGCATGCCGCCAGCTGTGCTTACGCACGCCGAGCTCACTGGCGATGACATGTGACTGCAGCACTCACGTGGGAATGGGAGTGCTGATTCTGGGGAATGTGAGTTTTGGTTTGAGGGGGGTGGCAGGAATTGGGTTGGCACCTGCACTGTGATGATCTCCCTGTTTTTCCGAAGTCCCCTTCCATTCCTGAATGAGCGTGAATCGTCTTAAAGGTTGAGCTGTTTTTTGCACTCCAACAATCCTTGATCCCTCGTTCTCTCCTCCTGCCTCCCCTCCCCTCGTCACGTGTTTTATGTGACCTCCTCTCATACATCAGGATATAGAGCAGCTTCTTGCTTCGGTCGGACTGTTTTGGAAAGGTTCCCGCCATTTTCTTTTGTATAATCTGCTTCGCTTCTTTGCTGCAGTAGATGCGGGTCACTGTAGGCTCGCATGATTGATTTAGTTGCAAAATGCAAACGTCGTTCTGATTGCCTTTAGTCTTCACTAGCTGTTGCAAGCAAACGCGAATCATTTATAAGCGTTCATTCTATATTGAACGTTCTCCCCCGTGCAATCTTGCTGAGGTCGTTGACGTGCTTGTCACGTGTTGACGCGTTTCGAGCCCTCAAATCTCAACCGTTAGCTTTCATTTATTCGTGGAGTGCAAGTGGCACCTTCCGCATCCCACGGCGGGGAATTCTGGCAAAATTCATTTTCTGCTGAGCCGAACCGAACCCTTCCGCGACGCGTATCAGCCGACCTCGAACCGCACATTCACGCACCTCGATGACAAATTGGTCCGAGGTGAAGGAAATGCGACTTGTGACAGAATCCTGCGCCAAATGATGTCTATCTTCGTGCTTCAAGCCCCCAAGCTGGGGCACCCAACCCAACCGACCTCGAGCTCAAACCAACCAAGCTCGAGAAACACAATCAAGGTGCATCCCTGAGTTGGTGGCAGGGCAACTGTTGGTGGCAAGCGCATTTTCCGGCCCACTGAATTTTTGGGTACACTTGCCACCAACTCGATGTGAACAGTTGCCCTGCCACCAACCAGGGATGCACCCTTAGCCCTCTTCCATACTGTATCACGCAAGACTTTGGCCCGTGCTTGCACACAGCGCACCAAATTGCAAGCTGCAAACAATGCAATGCTATCAGCAGGAAGTAACGCACCGTACCGCAGTTCTGCGTCCAAGTGCAGTCAAATGCGTGGGCTGAGCCAAAAAACAGCGGAGTGCGCCGTTACCATATGCCGTTAGTAAATGCTCGTAGCTTGTGAGTTGTCTCGTGATCTCTTGTGAGTCGTATTCGGTGGCCGCTTCACAAGACATCCCGAACAAACGAAACACCGAAAACTGTTACTGTAGAGCTTGGCGTCGATCGGCTACATTCTGTAGATGGAATCTGCAGCAGATTTTTCTGGCCTGCAGCAATAAATCTCCAGCCAAGCTTTGTCTTGTTTCGTGTGAACCGAAACACGTGACCTCGTTTCAACTGCTCTCGCGTGGCAGCATCTAGGCGATATTTTCAACCGCAGGATTTTTATTTTGCCGTCTTCGTCGATACTTCCCGCCACTATGTGCGGTTTAAGTTACCTCGCTTCCTCTGGCCCTTAAACTACGGCAAGGTTCATGAAGGGTCACGACGAATAGCGGCGCTGTAAATACTGCCACGCTTTTCTTTGGCCCACCAATCCCAACGGCCAGTAAAGGATTTCCTCGCATCCCCGCAACCAATGGCAACCGAACCACGGCTGTAGAATTCCCGTTCACTCCATGAGGCCAGGATGCTGCCAAAGTCACGCTTTCGTGATCCAAGGAGTTAGGAGACGACACAATTTGGATGGCGCGAGGGCTTCTATGGCTTGCTGAGAGAGCTGGCGATCGTGAGGCTGAGCATTAGTACGGGGTGGGATGTGGAGCCACGTGTTGGGCGAAAATGCTAGATCGGCCGTGAAACAATGAGTATGTGTCCACGTGGCAATGCGACTGTTCTCGGTTACATCAAGGCGAGCGCCAGCTCGACCCCCGACAGAAAACGGGAAGAGTCCGGCTTCTGGTCGCTTGGTCGCGAGTCGCTATGGCGCCTGCGATGGTTTTCCAGTAGATTCGTTTTCGGTTGACTCAACCATCGTCGCTTGACGGAAAACCCACCCATGGATTTGTCGCATAGAGCCAGAAAGCACAGCTCGTGTGATACCAGCTGTGCTCAGCCCTGAGAGCCGATTAGGCATTAATGAGCGACGGTTCGGATAGCTCGAATGCTAACGCGCCGCGCTGCACCCCTCCCACACTGCTTTATGGATCTGAAGTTTGAGTAACTTCTGAGAAATTTCAGAGAGTGGCGCACCGATGAATGCAGCTGAAGTAGCAAGGCAGGCGACCTTGGGGGGGCGGCGTGCAGCCTCTCGTTACGAAAGGAGGGATGCTGCTCTTAATTTATCGCTAAGCACTGCTTCTCACCGTCGCCGTCAAATACTTTCTTCACTTCTTCTTCGATCTGATTTCTGAGTTGACTGGTGCGATGCTGCTCACAATCCATAGCTGCTGATTCCCGCCATCCACTCGCCGCTTTTTCGCTGCTTGCCGCGTTGTCAGTGGTGATCCCGCCATTCCCAGCGTGCGCTGCTGCTAGCAGTGGCAGTAACAGCGCACCTGGTTCACACCGGCCGCGCTGTACGACGGCGTGCCTTGGGAGTCGCGCCATTCCCCGCGTGCGCTGCTGCTCGCGGTAACAGCGCACCTTGTTCGCACCGGCCGCAGGATTCGACACCGGCCTTGGGAGTTTCGCCGCAGAAGCAAGGCGAGAAGCATTTGAAAGGGCGGAACAAAGCGACGAAAAAGAGCAGAGATCGGAGCAGCAGAGTACGGGAAGGAAGAGGAGCAGGAAAGAACCAGGAGCGCGGAACCCTTTTTCAAGAATCACTCGAATCGTTTTCGCTCTTATTGAGGTCCGCTGCGTCTTTTGAAAGGGCTTGAAAGCAAGGAATTCGGCTGGAAATTTCACCAAAGGCAAACCATCATCAGATTGCCGCACCATCAAATAGGGAACCGTACTGTCAAAGCTCCAGCGAGGATGGATCCCTTCGCGCGTCTCCCCGACGAGCTGCTGCTCGCGATCCTCTCGCGCGTGGGCAGTGCGGCGCGTGACGTCACCCGGGCCGCGATGACGTGTCGGCGGTGGAATGAAGTGACGCGGAACGTGCCTGCGCTGTGCCTGGGACCGAGTGGCGGAGGCGCGGCTGCGCCGTTCTTGACGTTTGAGGTAATTGCTCGGACCGCAAGCAGACCATGCCATGGCTGACATAAAATTCTGAATTTATGGCCGAATAATGATCATTTTTCTCTTTGTTTTTGTCTTTTTTTAAGAAAACGCCTCTTTAACGCCCTCCCATCCGGCCCATTACCCTTCCCCTTCCCCTTCTCCCCACACATCAGCGCCAGGCCTCGCGCATGATCCTCCGCTCGGGCGCCCTGCGCCACCTCACAATCATCTCGCCTCCCGCAGCGCTTGCTAACAACGGAGGGCCATCCCATCCCAGCCTGACGCCGTCCAGCACATGCCAAGGAAGCCCCATTCCCATCGGACCTTCCGCTCCCCCAAGCGCCGGACCTTCCGCTCCCCCAAGCGCCGGACCTTCCGCTCCCCCAAGCGCCGGACCTTCCGCTCCCCCAAGCGCCGGACCTTCCGCTTCCTCAAGCGCCGGACCTTCCGCTCCCCCAAGCGCCGGACCTTCCGCTCCCCCAAGCGCCGGACCTTCCGCTCCCCCAAGCGCCGGACCTTCCGCTCCCCCAAGCGCCGGACCTTCCGCTCCACCAAGCGCCGGACCTTCCGTTCCCCCAAGCGCCGGACCTTCCGCTCCACCAAGCGCCGGACCTTCCGTTCCCCCAAGCGCCGGACCTTCCGTTCCCCCAAGCGCCGGACCTTCCGTTCCCCCAAGCGCCGGACCTTCCGCTTTCTGCAGACGTCCCTCTTATTCCACCGAGTCCGAGGAACTCCCAGGAGCCTCCCCAAGTTGCGCCTGCAGCAGCCAGCATGACTGCGGCAGCGACGCTTCTGCGCCACTCCCCCCGCCCCGCCATCCGCGGGAGTTCATCTTCGAGGCGTGGATGCGCCACGTCGGATCGTCTATGCGCTCGCTCACTCTCTCCCGCGCACTCCCCGCCACGAATTCCGCGAAGCGCTCTCACGGCAACGGCACGTGCGGCGGCGGCGGCGGCAGCGGCGGCGGCGGCGGCGGCGGTGGTGGTGAACCTGTGGGAGGAGGAGGACGCGAGTCTGCATCTCGCGCACATTTCCCGCCACTGCACCAACCTGCGCTCGCTCTCATTGGGCCACGTGTCCCTCTCCGCGCCGTCCCTGCTCGCAGCTCTCCAGCCCATGCCGGCCCTGCAGCACCTCTCGCTCTCGTGGCTCCACGCTTCCCCCGCCGCCCTTCACGCCGTGCTTGACGCCGCGCCGAACCTCCGCCACCTCTCCATTTTCATGGCGTCGGGATTCCCTTACCTAGAATTGCACCTTCCGCCGTCCCTGCAGCACCTCTCACTCTCCTACATCCGCGCGGAATCCGTCGTGCTTCACTCTGCGCGCTCCCTCCAATCCCTCTCTCTCCGCGACATGTTCCTCCGCTCGCTCTCCATCCGCGACGCGCCCAACCTGCGCCAACTCTCAGTCGCTTCCGCCAACAGCCTGCTCGTCTCCGCGCCTCACTCCAGCCAACTCGCGTCAATCGACCTCCGTGCGGGATCGCTCAACTGGCCCGCCACCGAAACCCTAATTTCAACCAATTCACCTGCGCTCGAGTCGCTCTCCCTCGATTTTTTTGCCACCAGCAGCTCGGGACTGCCCTGGCTCGCACGGAACTGCCCGGGGTTGAAAAGATTGCGGTTGGGTCCGCTGGCGTGGCAGAATATGGTTCACTCGGCTGCCGTGTCCGGTCTTCTACAGTCACTGTGGAAAATTGGGTCAGATGCTACACTTGATAGTGGCTGTTTATGGCCTCAGCTAGAAGTTTTTACAGTGAGAATCGCAGAAAAGTCACCCGGAGGCCTGCTTTTGCTTCATTCGATACTCTCTTAACACCCCCACGCTGACAGGCCTCCACGTGACTTTAGAGAGTGTGGAGGAGGACGATGAGGAAGAGGAAGAGGGCGTGGATGGAATGGAGTATGATGGAAATTTTGAAGCTACTTGCTTCGATGAGCATGAGGAGGAAGATGAGGAGGGATACTACAATGACGGGGAGACAGACTACCTCTCAAACTCTTCTTCTCCAATTTCTGCCCCATGTTCATTCTTTAACTTAACTTTGGCTGACACTGCACTGGCCAGATCCAACCAGCCTGCGGGTTACTGCTTAGCACTGAGTGTAGCAGAGAGACGGCACCAGCTGTTTTTGAAGGGTCTGGACTGCCTACAGAGGAGTTTTGGATGCTTCTACGTAAACCCCCCTTTGCTTCACAGGAGAAAGAATTATTGAGGCTGAGAAGAGCTAGTGGCTACCCTGATTTTCTTTAGATGTAGGCATCACACTAGAACCGTTTATAGCTGGTTGGCATTAGCATACGGTTCTCCAATCGATGCTGGAGTGGATAGTATGAAGTACCATAATAGTTAGCGAATATATAAATTACTTCTGCCCTGGACGCGACCCCTTGTTTGTGAGTCACCTTATACCGAAGTGTTGCACCGACGTGGTTTCCACGCATTCAATGCTCACAAATGCTGCTGACGTGCTGGTCGGGTTTTGACGCGCTTCGAACTCTCAAATGCTTGCCAACCGTTCAGTTTCTTTCTTTCGTGTTCCAAGTGGCTCTTTCCGCATTCCACGGCGCATGATTCTGGCCAAACTGCACCGCACATTACTCATCCCCATCCATGGCGAACCGATCCGATTCGAAGGGAAATGGGGCTCGTGGCCTAATCCTACGGGAGATTATGTCTACATACAACCTGACCCAACCGAAGCCATTCAGCGCCAATCCCATTGGACTAGAGCAATTCTTGGCCTATTCCATTGGCTGCTTTTGTGCAAGAACAGTACAGCACCGCAATCAGCACACAACGAACGAACGAACGAGCGAACGAACGAACGAACGAACGCACAGTACAGTACAGTACAGGACTGTACCGCACCATGGCGTTGAAGAATGTGCGGAGGACCAGCAGAGAACACCTTCACCTTCAGCACTCACCCTTGTAAACGGGTGATCACAGTGCTGCACCAGCTCGTTTGTGAGTTATGGTGCCGTTATTCCACATCGTCGTCACTCACACCGCACGAAGGGCCAAACGGACAAAACCTGAATCAGCTTCTAACAGCTGTTAGTACTACAACATACAGCCTGGCGATGGTCAGTCCTACACTGCGAGGAATCTTCAGCAGATTTGATCGGCCAAACCAAGTTGCTGTTTCGTGTGAACAGAAACGCTGTAGGAGATATTTATCGTTTTGTTTTTGTAGTCTTGGACGATCCCTTCCTCCTCGTTTGTAAACTAGAGAAAGGTTCATGTGGACGATTAGGCGCTGCAATTACCGCCTCTCTCTCTCCTCGAGCTCTGCTGTTGCGCCTGATTGCCGCCAAACCGGTTTCGTTCAGAGTGAAATGATCCTCCGCCGGCATCCTAATAGCCAATAGCACATGCCCATTTGGGCCCCGAATGTGGATCATTCCCTTGTCCTCTACATGTCTAGGGTGCTGCGACTGACATGCTCAGCAGAAGGATGATTTTGCAGGGCGAGAGTCCTGAGGGCTTGGGCGCGCCGTGAGCACGCAAATGTGAGGCCAAGCATTACGCTGACGGATGTGGAGCCACGTGGTGGGTCGAAAAATGCTTGATCGACTGCTGAATGGTGACTGTGTCACTTGGCACTTGGCACGTGGCACTGAGACTGTGAAAGCGGCGCCAGGTCGTCTTTTGACAGGAACCGTCAATCCGAGATTGAGTCGATTCGAGTCGAAGTTCTGACGGAATTCTGTACTCCTTACTCGATTTGGTTCTAGATTTGGTATTAATGAGCGACGGTTGCTCGAATGCTACGCGCCGCACTTCCCGCGCTGCCCCTTCCCAGCCGTTCGTTTAAACGTGAGTCACTTCTTGCGAAGTTTCCGATAGTGACACGCCGTTATGCAGATGAAACTGGCCAGGCAGGCTGCCTAGGGGGGCGGCACGCAACCGCCGCTCCGAAAGGACTAGTCCTCAGGGATGCTGCTCTTGATAACTTATCGCTACTAATGCACTGCTTCTCGACGCCGTCATCTATCATTCCGTTGTCTTTGGTTTCACTTGTGACTTTCGGAGTCGACTCGACTAAACCATCGCTCGGACGGGCGTAGATTTCCACAAACCATCGCTTCAGCTGCTCGCTTTGTCAGTCGCGATCGCGGCCTCTCTGCGTGCGGCGCTGCTGCTGGCAGTAGTAAAATCGCACCCGGTTCGCACCGGCCCCATTGTTCGACCCGCTCTTCGGTCGACGCGCTCTTTGGATTTCTGCTTCTCAGCACGCACCGACTCGTCGATGGATCCCTTCGCCCGCCTCCCGGACGAGCTGCTTCTCGCGGTGCTCTCGCGCGTGGGCAACTCGGCGCGCGACGTCACCCGGGCCGCGATGACGTGTCGGCGCTGGAACGAAGTGGCGCGGAACATGCCTGCGCTGTGCCTGAGAACGAGTGGCGGCGGAGTCGCTGCTAGCCAGGAGCCGTACTTGACTTTCGAGGTGAGTTGCCCAGAATTCCTCAAGTACAGGCGTATCAGATGGCCGAGTTTATAAGATCTTATATTTTTATTCTTTTCGCTCCCAACCCCTTTACATGTCTTCCTCTGCCGCTCACTCTTCCGCCCTTTATTCCCCCCTCTCCCCACTCCTGCATCAGCGCCAGGCCTCGCGAATGATCCTCCGCATGCGCGCCCTGCGCCACCTCACCGTCATTTCGCCTCCCGCGCCGCCTGCCAGCATTGGAGGGCCGTGCTGCCCCCCCAGCCAGACGCCGTCAAGCGAAATTCCCAGCCCTACCAGCAGCGCACGTTCCGCCCCCACAAGCCTCGGACTTTGCACCCTCTGCCGCGGTGGAAGAAGTCCCACTCGAACCGCCGAGTCAACGGAACTCCCAGGGGCTTCTGCAAGTTGCGCCTGCCGGTGCAGCCAGCCAGGGAGTTCGGCAAGCGCGCAGGCAGGGGATTCGGCGGCGCAGGCAGGGGATTCGGCGGCGCAGGCAGGGGGTTCGGCAGCGCCGAGCCATCCGCGGGAGTTTATCTTCGAGGCGTGGATGCGCCACGTGGGGCCGTCGCTGCGCTCGCTCACTCTCTCGCGCGCTGTTCCCGTCGCTTCGTCCACGAATTGCGGCGGCGACGGGAGCGTGGTGGTGAACCTGTGGGAGGAGGAGGACGCGAGTCTGCATCTCGCGCACATTTCCCGCCACTGCACCAACCTGCGCTCGCTCTCATTGGGCCACGTGTCACTCTCCACACAAACTCTTCTCGCCACTCTCCAGCCCATGCCGGCCCTGCAGCACCTCTCGCTCTCGTGGCTTCACGCGTCTCCCGCCGCGGTTCACGCCGTGCTTGACGCCGCGCCGAACCTCCGCCAGCTCACGATTTTCATGGCGTCGGGTTTCCCTCACCTAGAACTGCGACTTCCTCCATCCGTGCAGCACCTCTCGCTCTCATACATTCGCGCAAACTCAGTCATGCTTCACTCCGCGCGCTCTCTCCTATCCTTCTCTCACCGCGACATGTTTCTTGGCGCGCTCTCCATCCGCGACGCGCCCAACCTGCGCCAACTCTCAGTCGCCTCAGCCAATTCCCTTCTCGTCTCCGCTCCACATTCCAGCCGACTCGAATCGATCGACCTTCGTGCGGGTTCGCTCAACTGGGCAGCCACCGAAGCCCTAATTTTGACGAATGGGGCTGCACTCGAGTCACTCTCCCTCGATTTTTTTGCCACCAGCAGCTCGGGACTGCCCTCGGTTTCGTCGCTGCCCTGGCTCGCGCGGAACTGCCTGGGGTTGAAAAGATTGCGGTTGGGTCCGCTGGCATGGCAGATTATGGTTGACTCGGCTGCGATGTCCGGTCTTCTACAGTCACGGGGAAAAAGTGGAGCATCTGATACACTTTATGGTGGCTTTTTGTGGCCTCAGCTAGAAACGCTTACTGTGAGAATCGCGGAAAAGACACCCGAAGCCCTGCTTGTGCTTCACTCCATTCTCTGTAACGTCCCCACACTGACAGCCCTGCATGTGACTCTAGAGGGGGAAGAGGAGGAAGATGAGGAGGAGGAAGAGGAAGAGGACCTGGATGAAACGGAGTATGATGGAGATTGTGATGCTACTTGCATCAATGAGGATGGGGAAGATGAGGAGGGATGCCACATTCACAGGGAGACTAACTGCTACTCACACTCTTCCGCTCAACTTTCTGTCGCATGTGCCTTTTCTGGTCTAACTGAGTCTAACACTGCACTGCCTACATTCACGAAGCCTGTTGGTTACTGCTTTGCACTGACCGCAGCAGAGAGACAGCACCAGCTGTTTATGAAGGGCCTGGATTGTCTACAGAGGCGGTTTGGTTTCTTCCATATAACCTCCCCTTCGCTTCACAGGAGAAAGACTTCTTGATGCTTATTATTGATAGTGGTGGCTAGTAGGCTACCCTTCCGTATTAATGTTTATACGGTATGCCCAGGGCCTAGAACCTGATATACGCCATAGTATACATCCTTATAGAGAAGGCAACTAGCAGTCAGATTGAGCAGCAGGATGCACTGTGCTGGTAGCCTTCCACTAAGCATATCTACTTGCATGTGCTATCCAATTATTCTTCTAAGCACTTATATCGTATTCATCTCCCTGTGCACACTGTACTCGTATTGATGGGATCCACTTACCGTGTCTGCTCACGCAAACGCGTCTTTCCTCGCCCTGCTGTGTGGCTCTCGCCCCGTCGCGTGGGCGGAGAAATGCAGCAAATAATTTGTGAAACTGCAGAACCCAACAGCACACAGAAGAAACGCAAAGAAACACTTCATACCACGAAGTTTTCAAGCAGTGCCACTACTATTTAGTCGCCCAGCCATCCTCAAGCCATTCATTCTCAACAGCCTGCAGCGGCAAGCCTGAATTTACGGCCGACTTCTCCCTCAGCCGTAGTAGTGTCGTGCTAGAAATTTCACGTCTGCGAAGCAGTTGCGTCATAGTAAAGTTCAGCGTCCCATAGACAGTCCGTACCCGTCACCTTGGTCAATCTTAATCAATTCGAGCTTATTTGAAACTATAACAGAGCGTTAGGACCTCGACGTCTAGCAGGCTGACGCGAGTCTTGCTTGCTAACAAAACTATCGATCATCGTGATTTCTGATCATCGTCTTTCTTGTTAACAAAACTATCGATTTCCCAAACCTAGATAGTATACCCTTTTCCGCAATGTCCGGCGAGCGAAGCGCAGACGCAGGGGAAGCCGTGCTCCTCCTCGCGCTGCCGCACGTGCGTCTCTTTAACGACCTCATCGCCTTACAACGCGTATCGCGCTCCCTCTATCGCACCATTCGCGACTCGCCCTGTTTCTGGCTGCGATTCCACCATCTCCACGTGGAGCCCTTCCCAATCAGCCACCGCCACGTGTCCGCTTCCCTCAGCGGAACAGCGGCTCCAAGAACCACCAGTGGAATTCGTCCAGTCGGAGCGCGCGGTGCTGATTCTCAGCAACTCGCAGCGCTGCCTCGTTATAAGCTGGTGGAAGCGGCTCTTAAGGTGTACGCGCGGCGGTCCCAGGGGCAGCTGAGGGAGGTGATACTGGACGGAGAGGACGTGCGTGGCGATGTGATTGTAACGGTGCTTGCAGGCTGCAAGCAGCTCGAGAAGGTGCGTGTGTAAAGAAGGTATCTGGCGTGGAACCCAGGAGGAAATCCGGCCCCTTTTCCACTCCGAAACGGAGGGGAGGAGGGGGATGGGGTGGCAGGCTGTGAGCAGCTCAAGAAGGTGCGTGTGTTAGTGGCGATGGGCGAATTTTTCGTTCGTGCTTCTCTCTAGACGTGCTATGTCTGCATTTTCTTAATCATAATCGATTGGGAGTGCATACGCTTTTTCCTGATTCTCACCTTCAGCACGCAACCATCCTGCCCCTCCCCTCCAACCGCCTCAACCTCCACATTTTTTCCCCATGCACTGTGCCGTTCCGTGCAGCTTTCAGTGAGGATGTGCACGCATGTAAGCTCGTCCCACATAGTCACACTCTTACAGTCACAGTGGGGCACGCTGGCGTCAACATCAGCATCAGCCTCAACTTCAGTATCAGCATCAGCACCAGCACCAGCATCATCCCCAGCGTCAGCATCAGCATCATCATCAACTTCAGTAACAGCATCAGCACCAGCACCAGCATCATCCCCAGCGTCAGCATCAGCATCATTATCGCCAGCAGCACCATCAGCTTCACCCCTGCTTGCAGATTCCTTACCAGAGTCTCCTCCACCCGCTCCACCCACTTCCCTTGAATCTACGCAACCTACCACGCTTGAGCAACCTCAACTTTCTACCCTTGAACTGCCTCAAGCCCCCGCAGCTACAGTACCGGCTCCCAGTCCCAGGCTGTGGCAGGTGCGCATGGCAGGGACTGACTGCCCCTCTACAGACTTCCTCTTTATCCGAGACATGCTCAAGCGCGCAGCAGCAAGTCTGCCCGCACCCAGACGTCCAGTCTCCGAACCTAGTTCCGCAGCTGCAGGTAGCCTTGGCAGCAGCACCCCCTTCAGCATCGGCAGCACCGCCCCCATCAGCACTGGCAGCAGCACCCCCATCAGCACCTGTTCTCAGATTCTCACAGACCCCGTGCTTTATAAGGCTGGCATGACGAAAAGATCATGTATGTCAGGAGATTCGGGTAATCCGGGATGTGACTATAACGAAGGGTTGTCGTTCGCGCCTCTGGATGGAGCATCAGTGAGGGGCTCAGCATCGGAGGGGCTGGTTCGGGCAGGGGAAGGCAGAGGTTCGGACCCGTTTCCGGGCAGGAGGCTGCAGATTGTTTCAACCTGCCCGTCGGTTCTGGACATCGATTTCTGCCCGCGGTGTGCCAATATTCGGGCAGTCTTGGACTGCCCGACTAGCGTGCAGTGGCGGCAGCATCTGGAGCGAGTAGCTGAGGATTCTACCTCCATAAAAGTGCAGGCGACCGTGCGGTCTCTCCTTAAGCAGCAGGTACTGCAATCATCCATTGGCTTGCTCACCCTTGTCTTTCTCACCTCTTGTCTTACTCTCCTTATGTCCTACTCACCTGTTGCCTTACTCACCCATGTCTTCGTCACCTACTGTCATCGCGCTCTCTCCTCACACGCACCTGTCGTGGCTGCCTGCGTTGCATTTCTTATTGCATCTTCTAAGCGAACTAATTCGTGTTTTCCTGTTTCCTTCCTCCTCATTCTGCCATCAGGCTTGTCGTGGGTGCCTGCGCTGCATCCCTCGCTGCATCTTCTGCGGCTCGTGCACCAACCACACGTGCATGCCACTTGGCCAAATCCAAGCAGTGCACCTAGAAGCACAGCACCAAGCAGCACAGCAGGAGTCCCTTGGAGGTTCAAATCCGGGCGGCCAAATTTTGGAATCGAATGATGGTATAGCTCGAGGGTTGGAGGACCCTGCACTGCATGGTTTGTCTGTTACTCCAGCTGTTGGTGTTAATTCTCATGAGAATGGGGTGGTCAATGTTGGCGAGAGGGAGGCAGTGGATTTGGTGTCGATGGGATGGGTGATGTGTGGGTGTACCCTTTGTTCCAAGGAGCAGTGCACATCGCGCATGCTGACGTGTGTGGGGTGCAACTGGCGGTGCTGCCCGTGGCACATTGACAAGTATGCGGAAATTGCTGTGTCCAGTGGTAGCTTTGTTTGTGAGATTTGCTCCCACCAGGATAGGGACCCCATTTATGATTTGTAGATGGCAAGGTCAATTGAGTGATGTTGGATGTTTACTTTTTGCTGGCTTCTATGTTTGTGTGGTCTGCTCCCGTAATGCTGTACTTGTCTACTGGTATAAGCTGGTGATGTAGGAGGTTGTCTATCATTGTTCATGTAACAGGTTCATTTCGTTTCTTTATTGGAACTAGTTCGCAATCTTTCGCCTAGTTCAGTCCGGCTGGGTTCGGGTTTCTTGTTTCGCTCCCTCGCCTCCCACGTCTTGCCCACGTTTCTGGTTTCGCTCGTCTCGTATCCATACACCTTGACGCGTGGCTGGTGATGTTGCCCCTTGAAACAGCCATGGATACGAGGCTCAAAGCGGTTAGTGCAGAACTCGTTTTTTTACGAGCGAGCATGTCGAATCGCATCGCCCTACCAAGTTAACCTAGAGGTTTCCTTTATGGCAATTCAGATCCTCGAGAAACTCCTCCTATGTACTGCGCTCGGAGGAGGAATTTCAAGAATGCCTCGCACTACTGAATTTCCAAAACCATTGACTTGAGAGTCCTTGTTGATTTGTTCAATCTCGCGATCTGGTGCTCCTCGCCACCATGTATGCAAAGCTCCTCTTTGACGTAGCGGCTAGGCTTGACGTCAGCCTACCGGTACTTATTTCCAACTCTGGGATGGGTCCTCCCCACATTCTGGTGTGGGATTACAGGATCGGATTCTGCGGCAAAGTTTATAGTGGCATGGTCGAGGCGCAGCGAAGGCTCCTACCTTTTGGTGATTTTCGCCCGCCTGATCGGTTTGGTAAGAGTAAGTTCGTTTCCTTGAAACAGAGCCATTCACGAGAACTCGCGTACCGGGCCGCGTTTCGGAGCGCGATAACGGGAAAGACCTCTTGCTGTCACGAAAAATCAACAGCAGATGCGACAGCTGTCGCGAAAGTCGCTGAAGAGCTCGCGAGACCGATGGCGAAGGGAATTCTGCAGATCGATTGCCATCACATGTTACTGAGCACCCCGAAATACTCTACCGATGAAACTCCCACTGGAGCCCTCTTGACCAAGGTTGAGCTCTTACCTGACCTGACTGTGCAGCGATCATGCCTTGATTGTTTTAAGGCAGAAGCTGAAAGGGATGCAGCTTTCCAAGCATGGCTTGAGATCTTCATCAATGGACAACATGTGGAGGGAGGTGACGAAGGGTGTAATGAGGGAGATGAGAAAATAACGGACTGGACATATTTTCAAAAAACTATTGGTAGAAACCGTGGATTTTTCTAGTGTGTTAATGCCTAGATTTTGGGATGGATAGCTCTCCATGTGTGAAGGCAATTTGATAGTGAAAGGCTTTGTTGCTTGTGATATTCAATAAACAGGAGGGTTAAGAAACAGAAGAAAGGCATAGCACTTGTGTTCGGCCTTCATCATGCTTGCCTTAAGATAACACAAATTGTTAGGCATGCAACCTGCCTCAGTCTCTGACAGTTCTCCTGTAGAGCATAGGAGAGGCAGCAAGGAAGCTCCCAAATACTCTGGAAGTAGCAAGGAAGCTGTCACTGGCGGTGCTGCCCTTGGCACAAAGTATGCGGAAATAGCGGCGTCGAGTGCTAGCTTTGTTTGTGAAATCTGCTCCCACCGGAATAAAGGTCCTATTTGTGATTTGTGGTTACCTTTGCTCGTGGGTTTTGCTCTTTTATAATTGTGCTGTATCTGTATCTGCTTAGATGATGGAGGTCGTGAAACACAAGTACACAGTATTTACCAGTAATACACGTACGGTACCGTAATCCCCCGGATAGAAGACCCCCCAAATTAAAAGACCCCCGGGTAGCTAATACGGGGGGGGGGGGGGGGGGGGGGGGGTACTTTATAATGTCAGAATCTCAGCCACTAACCACTGGGATAAAAGGGCTTGTTTGTGTAGCGGGTGAGTGCGCCCATAACCCCCCAGGCCAACGTGCCTGTAACCCTTCCCTAGGATCAATCGGGGATCACCAGTGGACCTCTGACACCCCCCCGCACTGGGATGCCCGAGGTGCACACACCGGGATTCGAACCCGAGACCTTCGCTCTGATACCATGTCAGAATCCCAGCCACTAACCACTGGGATAAAATGGCTTGTTTGTGTAGCGGGTGAGTGCGCCCATAACCCCCCAGGCCAACGTGCCTGTAACCCTTCCCTAGGATCAATCGAGGATCACCAGTGGACCTCTGACATATAAAACCACGAAATCGTTATACCCCCCTTTTGAGGGGTAAACAATATAAGACCCCCCCTTTCCCCTATAGGGGGGGTTTCCATGTAGATTTCGAATTATTCTATTTAGACCGAAACATGTTACTATGCGAATTTGGGGGAAAATATGCCACAAGTAACAAACTTAAGACTCGATAACGTAAATGGTACAAAAAAAAAACGCGTACGGTCACTGTATCGGGTTTCCAGACGGGTTTGGTAAGTGGGGTCACGGATTCAGTCATTAACAACAGGTAAAAAATCACGCGAATGGTCACACATGTAACTCCCGCCAAAAATTTTTGAAACTCAACAAAATTCCCGCTCGCCCCCAACCAATCTGCGAACTTGTAAAAAAAAACTAAAACCCAATCGGAATCGGATGCGGTTCGGGAACGGATCAACCCTAAACACCTGGCTAGTTACGTGTTAGGGTTGATTCATCCGAAAATGCACCCAGATTCTTTTTGGGTTTCATTTTGTTTTGGCGGGAATTTCATCTGTGACCATTCGCGTTTTTTTTACCTGTTGATTGTGACTGATTCCGTGAAACTCTTTATCAGTCGCGTGAAAACACCCTTTGCAGTGACCGTACCCTTTATTTTTTTACCAACTGTGTTATCGAGTCCCATGAAGGTTACGAATGGCATATTTTCCCCGAATTTGGCCTGTCGGCTGGCCTCTTGATATCAGGGTGATTCACCCTTATGACCCTTACTATAAGGGCGGGTTTGACGATGCACCCTTTTCTACAAGAGTGGTTTTGTTTTAGATCCTTACAAAAAAAAGTGATCGATTTGTTAGAATCTAGCAGCAGGAATGGTGTGAACTAGCAGGATGCAGGAGTACAAGTAGTAAACCCTAATTTGGTTGTACCCCATATGGGCTACCCCACTACAGCCTAGACAATATGCAGCACATACAGTTTGACACACCCCCATAGGCAAAGTGGGGGAGAACAAGGGGTCACACGACCAGTCAAGAGAAGCAAAACAAGCTCAGGGTGGATCACAACGTCACCACGCATTCTGAGCACAAGCAAAGGGCCACAAGGCCAGTTCACATGCAGAGATATATATGCAGCAATAACAGTATAGTGATGGCTACCTAGCAAGAGCCAGCATGCAGGTATATATATAGATCACAGTACAAGCAGAGACTACAGCAAGTGTGGAAACGTAGGCACAAGGCCCAACAGAGTACAAAAGCGCTGATGATCACCAGACGGAAGTGCCTTGGTGAATATATCAGCAGTGTTGGCCCGAGTGGCCACGTGGCGAAGACGAAGCTGGCCTCGCTGCTGCAACTCTCGAGCCAGGAAGTAACGCAGAGCAATGTGCTTCGTTCTGTGCTCCAGACGTACAGCACTGGAGGAGAACGAGGCTGCTCTCCCAAGTCAGTCAGCAGGTAGGTGAGCCAACGTAACTCCTGTGCAGCCATGGCGGTGGCGTAGATCTCAGCCTCACAACTGGAGCTGAGAACTGAAGACGAGCGTGTAGAACGCCACGAAACATAACCAGAGCCAAGGCTGAAGGTGTAACCCTGTGACGACCGCTGAGTAGCCAGGTCGTCAACCCAAGAAGCGTCTGAGTGCCCAGTGAGGACAACTGGGCTCGTCCCTCCAAGCACTAGCCCCATGCCTGATGTGCTGCACAAGTAGCGCAGTACCCTCTTAGCAGCAGCCATGTGCTCAGGTCGGTGCCGACCAGGAGCCACGTAGCGAGCCAGGAGACCAAGAGGGTACGCGAGGTCAGGTCGAGTGCAAGTCATCAGGTACATGAGGCAGCCGACTAGCTCTGGGTAAGGACCACTCGGCTCTACAGACTCGTCCGAAGGTGGAGCTGAGAGTGAGTGACCTGTAGCCAGAGGAGTGGCCTGTGCTGAGGACCAGGTGAAGCCGAAGCGCTGAAGGACCTGCTGCACCATGTGTGACTGAGTCAAGGTGATGGTGCGACGTGCTCTGTCCTGGGTGATCTGCAAGCCAAGGTAGCTGTGCAGCTCACCCAAGTCTGTGCACGTGTTGTCAAACATTGCATGTTTATATTATGTAGGCTGTAGTGGGTTACACCTTAGGGGGTACTCAAAGTTAGGGTTTCCTACTTGTACCAAACTCTGTGCTAGTTCATCCCATTCCTGCTCAGTTATTTCTGACATGGTTTCAGAGCAGGTCCTTCGTTAGGACTGTTCTTAGGGCCCACCGACTTACCTACCTGCTTACCTTCGCTTGTTTCCGGCCCCGCTGGCCCCGTCGATCTAGCACGATCTAGCGGCCCTGCGGCCCCGTCGAACTTTTTTTTCCTAGCGGCCTCTCACAACCCCCGTCGCGTCGCCCCTTAGCGCCCCGATCGGCCCCGTCACGCCGCCCGCGAACCGCACAGCGCGCCGCGCTCACAGCCCGCGAACCGCCCACGCACAGCCCGCGAACTGCCCGCGAGCAGCCCGCGACCTGCCCGCGAACCCCCGCGAGCCGCCCGCGACCCGCTTACGCAGCCCGCGAGCAGCCCGCGCAGCCCGCGCTGAGCCTGCGCGGCTCGTGCGCTGACGGCCCGCACGGCCCGCGCGCTGCCTGCTCCCGGCCCGCCGCTGCTGAGCCCGCAGCCGCCCGCGCACCGCCGCTGCTGAGCCCGCCGCCGCCCGCGCACCGCCGCTGCTGCGCCCGCCGCCGCCCGCGTATCACCGCTGCTGAGCCCGCCCCTGCTGCGCCGGC